AAGGCAGAATGAGGCAGTTCCGGAATAACTTCAAGATGAGGATACATGTCAATTCTCCTCCTGTTGTACTGGTTTGTGACGGTGGAGGTAGGGGCAATGTTGAGCATGGAAGTCATCGACGTAAGCATTGTTGTTGCCGTTGGTAGGTAACGTTGCCCTTTGGAGAGAGCATCGGAGAGGGATGTGCTGGGCAGGTGAGATTCCACTGGATTTCAGTACATTATGATTTACATTTGCGGTGGCGGCGGTACTATCGTGGAGATGTGTCTGTAGGACTGTAGGTAGAGGCTCTCTGTACATCTGGGGCATAGAGAGCGGCAATTAGTAGGACGTGGCAAATGAATCCATGACAATGGAATTCTTAAGTATGAGGATTGTAACAGATGGATGGGGTTTGTGCTCCATTCTGAAGCAGGAGGGAGGATGGAGACGATCCCAGTGGGTGCATATCTTTTAGTTACCTGATGATAATGTCCCCTGCCTGTTGGTTTGGTGTGTGGAAGCACAGTAGCTGCTGACCCGTTTGAATTGGAGCGTGCAACAGTCACTGTCAGAATGTAGGTTGTCGTTTGAGCACCCAAATGGCATTCAGCAGGTTTTCCTTACTCTCTCTCTCTCTCTCTTATCAGTCTCACCCAAATGACATTCAACAGGTTTTCCTTACTCTCTCTCTCTCTCTTATCAGTCTCACCCTTCAGATAGATATGTGAGCGGTGGCAAGGACCAGATGAGCAACGATGGCTTGAACATGGGATCGGTGATGAAAGTGGGGAAGACGGAAAATCGTGGCGATTTAGACTTTGGAATCCCTGTTTTGATTCTATTGAATCTTATTATGATTACTTTGAAGCTGGTAATGGGTATATTGCAGGGCTGAGAGCCGCTGTATTGCTTTTTACGTTTTTATTGTGGATGGAGTAGATAGGAGGAGTGCTATGCACGTAAGAGGTAGTAGGGATATGAGAGTGGCTGTTGTCTATGACATTGCACAGGACAGCAATCATCCATGCACAAAGTTAGTTTTATTTGCTTGATCGGGGTGCTCAAGAGTCGCCTTACAGCTAGTATGATCGCTTCGGCAGTATGATGCCTCTCGTTTTGTA